GATTTGAAGTTTAAATTATGATTGGATAATTTATAGATCACGAGATCCATATCTTTTTATTCTAACGTTATTGAATAAAAAGGTATTTTTATTCTAATATTAAACAATAGTTTTAAAACATAAAAAACATTACTTTATTAAATAGTTATAAATGTATTCACTGTGAAATAGTTTGCCGATACCTGATGCTAAATGACTGAATTATCTTTACATGGAATTTACCAAGCAAATTAATCATATAAAAAAAAGATTAAATTTTGATTCTATATGATTTATTCAATCAAAAACATCACGTCCAATTATTCTTTTAAGTATATTAATTTAATTGTATTACAAAAAAATTTATAATGTATTCAGCAATCACTTGTTATTGCTGGTACTTGGCCCATTATTCCAAGAGAGATAGGTATGATCTCCAAGTTTTCTAAAAGAAAAAAAAAAATCATAAATGATTAATATAAAAACTTAAAAATATCATGATTATCTTCATCTGTGTACCTTGGCTTATATAAATGTCTTGCAGTAAATGCACATCCGAGTAATATACAAAGAATTCCAACAGCCATATAAGCGTAACCCAAGAAAGGATTTCTTCCACCAAGGAAAGAAACCGTGGAAATCACAAAAGACTTAGTACCACCATATTTGCTTACAGGGAACACTTTTTTTTTTAAAAAAATAAAAAAATAAATAATAATTAGATTTAAAACATGATCCATAGACAATTTCAATTAATTATTTCAAGCAGATATATTAATTACAATATTCAATCTCGACTTGATAATCTCCACTTAACATCTCTTGATTCTCATTCTTTCCCCATAATTTCCTAAAATCAGGAAGACCTGCAGTGCGCATCCAAACTTGAAAATGCTCATCTGTTTCAATGTCAGGTGGAGGAAATTCTTCAGTATAAGTGCCATTAGGATATCTTGCAACCCAATCCAAAGGAGGGCGAATTTGATCAAGGCTGTATTGGGTTTTTTTATATTTCTCTTTATCAGAAGGCCATGCAATGCTTTCATTAGAAAATGTATAGGTCACATTTTGAGCACCGCTGACAGGTGAAACACGAAGAACAGGATCGAATAATGTATCTATAAAAAAAAAAAAGATGAAAATTATAAACCTGAATGGACATTAAAACTTAATTATACCTGCCTTAAATAAAAAAAAAAAAAATCTATCATAATCTAAATATTAAATTGGTCTAACTTATATATATACTCTTTGGCTCAAAAAAAAAAATGAAAAAGATAATTCAGAAAAGTAATTCAATATAATTAACTTCTCTTTTTACCTTTCATACTCTATCAAAAATTAAGAAATAATTACCATTAAATTGGGAATTAGCAATAAGACCACAAGGATAGATAATCTTGCCGTCTTCACCAACGTCCATCGGTTTACAATTTCCAGCTTTAATCGTATTTGCAGGAACAGCTTTACCTTTAAGCTGTTCAGCATCAAAACTTTTAACATATCTTCTATGATTTTGATAAAAATTTGTTAACCTGTAATACATGAAAACTGGTGGTTTTAAGGTTTCTGGTAAAGTAAATCGAATTAAACAGTTCCAAACAGCTTTGTCTCCAGTTGGATTTCTTTTTGGCGGAAGAAGTTTAATAATTTTTGCCCATGATACTTTTATTTGGGAATCATCTGGAAATGAAGATGTTATAAATCGAGCTGGCGTGTCACTAAAAATGGGCTCAGCACCTAGAGCATCAGCGGGTTCTGGAGATAATGAATCACAAAAAGTATAATCAATTTGTAATTCTTTGACCTATAATAAATTGAAAAAGATTACTGTTGAGGGCTTTTTTTTTTAAATAAAATAAAATAATCATAAAATAAACGAACAACACAACTATAAAAAAAAAAAAAAATTAACTACATTATTACTAGCATAAAATAAAATGGCACCAAGGGGTGCAAAGATGATTCCGATTATAAAAAATGTGGGAAGGACGGTTTTTGGTGTAAGAATCGGTTGCCATGCCTTTAAGCGCTGTTGTTTAAAGGCAGTGTCTAAAACAAAAGCCCAAAGAATAAATAATCGCTTAAAAAGTGTAAAGAATAAAATTTAATATAATGGAAATGTACTCACTTGCGGGCTTACGGCTCTTTGTTTCGGGAGCCATTTTTAATTAAAAAGGTAGAGAAAGGAAAGAAATGTTTTGACTTTGTTGCAAATCGTAGAATGTTCAAAAGTGTGGCACAATAAATGTGAAGTAATTACTTTTCGTCCGTGTTAAGAGAATTTTCTGAAATAGGTTTTTTCAGGACTTGATTTATCCCTTGAACTATCCCTTTTTAATCACAATGTATGACAACACATGGCTTATTTATTTATAGATATTGTATGGATTTATATTTAATAGGTTGTAATTGAAAATTTTTTAATTAACTTGCGTCTATCTGATCAGCAAATTTATGCTAAAGTGAATAAATACAAAAGAGGGAAAACTTTAACAATTAAATAAAACAATCATAAATTATTCATATTTGATACTATATGATTTCTCAAGATATTATGAATTGCTCCTAAAAAAAAAAGGGAAAAGGAAGTCAGGCAAAAAGAAGTTTTGATATTTACATACAAAGTTAAGGCATGAGATGTCAATAAGATACTTACAATTCCTTAACTTTTGTAAGACACGTTTCATATTGTTCGTTATATTCGTTATTATCTTCAGTTTTACGATCAGGGACAACCATAATAACACTTGTTGGACGTTTCGTTGCACATGAGAATCCAAGATCAGCTCGAGATGGAATGAAAACAAAAGGTATTTCATTATCCTCACATAAAACTGGGATATGCGAAATCACGTCCATTGGGGAAACATCTCCCGCCATCACGACAAAGCTGTTTTATTATTAATGAAATTAAAAAATCATAATTAGAAACGTGGTAAGAATAGAACGAATAAATTGATTGAACAAAAAATAATCAATCACCCTTTCTGCTGTTTACGTATAGCCTTGACAGTTTCCTTTACACCACGCCTACATTGCCGTTTTTTTGCAGCTAATCGATTGAATATTTGCAAACGCGTAAGCAAAGGTCCCATGAATATTCTAGAATAATCTTTCAATAGCGTCTTTTCATTTTACCTTGTCTGACCGTTTTCATTATCTCCAGAGTAAATTCCTCAGAGGCCAAGGGTTGTGCAAAAGGTATTAGAGCTCTCAAGTCATAATGTACAATTAAACCTTTGTCTGATTTAGTTTCCACTGGAGTTTCAACTTTGGCTATTTTCGCTACAGGTAGATCAACCTCCATTGCATTATCATCATTTACAATACTCTTTTTACTCCCTTTACTCTCTTTATGTTTTGAAGAATGCTTTTCCTTTTTTTCCTTATGGGACTTTTCTTTTTTTTCTTTCTTTTCTTTTTTAGTTTTAGGTTCTTTCTTTTCTTTAGGCATCTTTTTTAAATAAAATTTATTGACAAAATTACCAAAATAAAAATTTTTTTTTCGACACCGAGAATTTATACACGTGAACATGAGAAATCACGTGAAAATTGATTTTTTGTTGTTTTTAATAATATAAATAAAAGAATTATTTTTGATCTATTGTATATACAAATTTTTTTTTTTTTGTGATTAAAATATATTACTATATCTACTTTTGCTTTTAGCTTGTAATCTAAATTTAATCATTTTTGAATTAATTGATGTAATTCTAGCGTACATTAGTCTCTTGTTTTGTTTAACTAACAAAAACAAAAAAAAAACTTACAAAAAACCATAGTTTAAAGCTATATTTATTTGATTGATTTGATTTGATTTGAATTTTTTTTTTTTTCCAACACTATAGAGTATTTCTATAGGACAAATGTGCATGTTGATGATCATCACCAGTTAAATTCCAATTTTTTAGAAACAAAATAAACTTAATAAATAAACGAAAAGCTCACGAATATATAAAAAAAAAAAAAAAAAAAAAAAAACAACCGGTTCGTTAACTTTTCTCGGCAAATAAAAAAATATCAAATGTAGGTGACAGGATAAAGATCTTAAAAACTCAGAATGCAGAATGAAAGATAATAAATGAATGTGAGAAAAGACTCACGTCCAAAGACTTTTTGATAATGAATTCTTACAACGAAATCTTGAACTCCAAGCGCTTGATCTGTTTTTTTGATAATGGATTTCTGCAAAGGGAGCACACTTTTTGAGTTTTTAAAGCAGTTGTGATGCAATTAAGACAAAATATATGACCACAAGACGTTGCCGAAACATCTTTTGGATGGTCAAGACAGATCGCACACTTGAGTTGAAGACCTCTTGAGGGTAAAAGGGAACCTGTGGAGGTAGGTAATTGAAAACCTCTTGAGGGTAAAAGGGAACCTGTGGAAGTAGGGTTTTGTAGACCTCTTGAGGGTAAAGAGGAACCTACGGAAGTAGGAGTTTCTGAATCATCGTCAATGACAATTATTTCCGTTTTAGGTGCGTTAACGGTTGGTGAGTGTGTGTTCGGAGAGGACGTTAAATCTACAATGTTGCTTGGATATGGGTCGGCAGTACGATTGCCGGGGTAAGGTGGAGAGGAGAGGTCTATCACTTCTATATCGGGGGAAAGAGTACGTGGAGTCCTAGAACGTTCAAGACCAATGGAAAATACTGAGCGAATGGGAGGTAAGGTTATTCCACCATGTGGAGAATTTTCTTGCGGCAAAGAAATAGGAGGCAAAGTTACTCCACCATTGTCTCCTGTATTAGGCAAATTAAACGACTGTAAGTATGAAGAAGAATCCTGGATGGAGCCCGTTTCCGCGGTACGTCGGACGGTAGGATGTGGTGAATCGTTTCTTAGGGGAGGCAGAAAGATTATCGGATAATCTTCTTGTCGAGAGGCTAAAAAGATTCAACACATGATTTATATTGGAAATGAAATTAAATAAAAAAATTTCTAACTAATATGTAATTCGAAATTTATACATACCTCCTTCTTCAGCCCTTATCGCTCTACGCTTATTAGGTCTTGACATTATTTGGGGAGCAGAAGTAGACGGTTCCGTTTCTAATATTAGGGGAAGAAAAATAAATTGGTTAATTAATATCTATAAAACGAATCATGTATCTATTACAAGAAGGTTAACACTAACCATCTAATACTGCTCTGTCCTGCGTTCTTTTATTTCGACGTAACGGTCGTGATCGAGTCGAAGTACTTCCAGCTCTTGAAGCTGTGCCAAAACTTTCAATATCCAACTGTATTAAATTTTGTGACTGACTTGACGATGGCAGTCCTGTAAATAAGAAAGTAATGTTAAGCAATCATTGTAAATCGGTTTTAAAATTCATTGTAATTATTTAAATTCTGTATAATTCGACCAACCGTATACTTCTTGCTTTGGTTCCATTGGATCTTGACTTCTTTTCTGTGCTCTGATAGTGGCCCTTGTTCTCCTATTTATGTCATGCGAACTACCTTGTTCTGAGAACGCATTGGTAGTTTGCTTTTGGTATAAGTTTTATTTTAAAAAAAATATTAAAGTAAGCGAAACTAATATTATGAGATAAATAAAAAAAAAAAAAAAAAAAAATTTAAGAAATTATTATTTATATACCCGTGAGCCCATTTTTCGTATGATAATATTAAGATTAGTTTTTTTTTAAATAATTGATTTCAGAGTGTTCTTGTTCAAACAAAATAAAACTTTTTTTTTTTCCCTTTTTTTTTTTTTTTTTCAATAAGTTGGCTTGAATATTTGATAAACAGATGATACGATTAAACAAAATAACAAAATTTATATACGTTCTTGATGTTTCACGACAATACATAATGTTACACAAAATATAATAAGCAAAGAAAGCCTGAATCATTGAATCGAATTCGATAAAAATACAATGACATAGTATCACGCGATTAACGAATTCGTATTTATTTAAATAGTTAAATCGAGAAACAAAAAGGCAGGTTTCGATAAGGTCGAAAATAATTCGAAAGTTCGGAAATCCGTGTAAATCATCAGGGAAATATGATGTAATTATCCTAGTCTATATAACAAAATTTTTAAGGATGTTGCTCGTTTCAGAGATTTATATAAATTATTATTTTTGGTAGAATTACGGATCATATGATTTACTATATCATCCCATTAGCAGTAACACAATATCAATTACATTGGTTGTACGTACGGGATCCTTTTTATGAAAGCATTTTCCGATAATCACGCGAAAGGGCGGATAGAGTCCGTATGTGCCAATCATGTTCCAAGTTTATTATTTTACTTTGAAATGTTTGATAAGATTATTGAAATTCCTTGATTCAATATTATTTTTTTTTTGTGTAAAATTTATTATTAAGCAGGTACAATATATTTTTAATTCAATAATATATTATTTCATCTTGCGAAAGGTTTGTGCATGCAAAGATGCCACGAGTAGTCATTTCAAAAATTATTTTAAGGTTTCGTTGATCGACGAGAAACATTCCTTGCTTTATTAACACTTGAGATAAGGAAACTCGAATTTGTAGCTGTTATTTGCAGGTAATATTTCAATTAAATCAACACATGCTCTGTCAGTCTGTCTCAATCCGTAAATCCGCCAAAATTTTCAATTTTCAAGCAATCTTTAAGATTTCTTGATGCACCTCCTTATTTTCAAAATTGATCGTGGATTAAGTAGGTTGTTTAGCCGCAAACCAACGGGAATTACTATAAGAAATAAAGAATCATACTAAGATTCGTTTCATGCTTGTGATATTATATATTATGGAAACCAGCGAAATTGACGTTTTCTTCTTCCGCAAGTTTACGTGTTTTATTGATAATTCTTAATACTTAAACTAGGTCCTCCGGAAATATCTAGATAGGTAAGGTTTTGTGTATTTCCATTATGGTCTTCAAAGACTCTTGAAAATGGTTTACCGAGTTTAGTAAACAGGCTGCCTAATAAGGAAATCAGTAATCAGTAATGTTCATAGTGCATTACGCACCTTAATTCTGGTCAATTCATGAATTTGAATAAATGATTTTAACCGAATTCCCAAATTTATACTTTTATTTGCCTTACAAAGCCTAATACCTATATCACAAAAAAAAATGATGGTATACTTTATATCTCGCAGTTATGCGCGCTAAGAAACATTTATATTTTGATCACTTATTTTTACCCGACGATAGATAATACTTTTATTATAGATTTCTTATTTAGCTGAAAAATGGAAGAACCACAAAAAGATCCACAGACAACAACGACACCACCTCCCTCAGCTGTTTCAACCCAGGCAGTTGTACAAGATGTAGTTATGGAGGAAGCTACTACAACCGCCAACACTAGTAATAGCAATAACGAGAAAGAGGACAAAGTTCAAACTGACCCGGCGACTACTGCTGTGAACAACCAAAGAATTGTTGAAGAATTTCAATACCTTTTGGAGAAGAGTCAGCAATTATTTGCAGGTTTAAGGTAAAGACTATTCGCTACACGCAGAATTCTTGACCTTTTATAACGAATGGCTTAGGGGAAACGTGATATATGCAGGGATTTACCACCTACCGGTGGTCGTCAATGGCAACCGTATTTCCAACGAACTTTCGAAGTTTACACAAAGGTATTTCTTATGAGCCTGATCAATTTTTTAGATTAAGTAACGCGCGTCTAATGATCTTCTACTTTGTCTCTAGTTATGGAAATTTCAGCAACAGAATAGGTGATTATTAATTTTTAGATACTTTTACCTTTCTAAAAGGTTCATTCATTAACCATCTATTTTGTAGATTTGTGTTGGAAGTTAAAGAAAATTATGGTCTTAAACGATGGGAAGTTGGCGAAATTGCTTCGAAAATTGGCCAACTTTATTATCATTACTAGTATGTTCTCTTCCTTATTAAATTAAAGAAACTTTAGAATATGGACTAATTCTTAACCTATTCGTAAATTTATAAAGCCTACGTACAAGTGAGACAAATTACCTTCACGAATCATACATATTTTACGAGGCAATTCGTGAACGTTCTTACTTCAAGGATGTCCTTGACGTTAAAAAGTTTGTTAAACTATATATATATTTTTTTTCAATTAAATTTTTTTTATTCGATAGTTTTATATTTGATACATTCATACTTGATGAAAAACATTGTTTAATACTTTACATATAGCCCGGCATTAATGATCAAAAAATTGAGATATTATGCTCGATTTATTGTTGTTTGTCTGTTGTTGAACAACAGGGATATCGTACAAAAATTAATGGATGAATTGAGTGGTCTTGTTGATGACTATATAAAAATTTTTAAACCTGTTGATTCAAATGAATGGCAAGGTGTCCTTAATGAAATTGCAAATTTCTTAGAGGTAAAAAATATTAAAAGATTAATGTTAATGTTGAATTTTCATACGTACATACTTTAATGTGATGCTTATTAAATTATATTATTAGGCCGAAAAGAAGCTTGTTCCAGTATCAACCGAAGGTCATCTTTTATCGGTGGTACGTAGATTACAAATTGAACGTAGTCTTAGGCTTGAAAAAGATGGTACACCAAAATTGAAACTTCAGGAAGCGATTTTGGTTGGCAATTACCAAAACCAAATCAAATTTTCGGAGTTGACCCTTGACATGTATCACATACTACAGTCACTTGGTGAGCATTACATATGTCTCTCCCTAATGTTAGTCACTAATGTTGAATCTTATTTTAACTCGATTGCTTTTCTTTGCAATTGGAATTTTAAGAACGTGAACCGGCGCCTCTAAAATCTGCTCCTCCGAAGACTCCAGGTTCTGAAGTTCCCACGGTAAACGAAAGAGTTAATAGTAAAGATGATACAAGTGCTGAAGAACAAAATGCAAATACTTCTACCGATAAACCTGCGTCGCGAAGAGTTAATCCACATAAATATCTTCTATATCGACCGACGTTCAGTCAGTTATTAGTATATATCGCTACTGCTTTTAAGGTATGTGTTTGATTGGTCTATCTTTATTTTTATTTTTCGGTAAATCTCTTACATATATATATGCACTATTGTATTGGTTAGGAAATTAATGAAAATTCCGCATTATTACTTTACATTTCTGCTGACGGATCTAAACGCTCAAGCAATAATGAACAAACCTCATGTAATGGTAAGCATGAAAAATGTGAATGTAAAATTTCGAAAAGTCTATCTAATAATATTTTTTAAATCTAGGATATAATGGTGGTGTTGCAACAAGTTCTCGCAAACCTACGGATAAAACAGATTCTTCGGATAGTATCGGATTAATTAATTGTTTGCATCCGGCAGATTTAGTGCCATTCTCCCGTAAACCATTATGCCTAATAATCGACAGTGATAATAGCACTGCCTTTGCGGTATATTTCTATTTATGGCCATTATTACACGTGATTTGATAGAGATTGATTTTTATTTCTTTTTTTTGAAATATTATTTAGGATTTCCCTAGAGTTTTTAATCAACCGTTCCTTTGTCTTATGTCGCCTGTGGAGTATCCTTCCTCTATCACTGGTAACTCTGACATTTTAATCAGGATTCATGTATCATATTATACCATTTTTTTTTTATTCAAATCGTAAACATGTTATATAGACACGCCTCAGATTGGTAGCCTTTTCACCTTGTTTCTCCATGCGCCGCTTCTTGGGTTTGCCTTTATTTCTGACCTTGGACAAATAAGTTCAGAAACTTGGGAAAAATGTGTAAATCTTGTCGCAGAAGCCGAGTTAAAGATTGTAGAATTATTCAATTCATCTAATATTGGTAAGATCTATTATTATATTGAATTTCACTCTGATAAAGAAATTGAACTTTTGAGCCCTTTTTTGCTTTTGTAGAAAAACCATTAAAAAGGTTTTTACAAGATGATTTCCTTCGCCAATTCCTTGTGAAATTTGTATTGTGTCAATCAATATTAAAAGCCCACATTGCATTTAAAGAAGAAAAGGTAATCGTTATGTATTTGATGATTTGAATATGCTTGGTTGATTTAATAACAAAATTATATTTTTAATTTTTTTTATTAGCATTTTCTTACATCTTGTCCACAATTACCTTCATCGATATATGATTCACAAGAATTATTAACAAAGATATATCAAATGGTAAAAGAAGCACAAGTTGAGTCCTATTATTCATTCCCTACGTTAGAAATTTTAGAAACGGAAGCGGTTGAGAAAACAGTGGACCCTGAAGAGGAAGATGAGGCAATACAACAATAATTAATGGTAACTTCTAATTTCTTAATTTTTCTTTCCTTATTATAAAATGATTAATTTTTAATCTAGATTCTTTATTAAAAGGTCCGATTCTTAATATATTAGCCATTCAACAATAAAATTTTTATGATTATACCTATTGATAATAATTTTATGATAAATTGGTAAATGGTTTTTGTTTATTAAAATAATAATCATTTTTATTTGAATCGTATTTAATAAATTAACTCTTCTCAAAAGATGGTGTTAGTATTAATAATAAAATAATAAAAATTAACGTTTTTTTTTAAGAATTCTATATTGGTCACTAATATTAGAAAGATATGCTTTTACTATGATGAATATATACAGTTAATAAAAATTAATCGACAATTTAAAAAATTGTCATAAGAGCGAAACAAGCATATAGTAAACCGACGGGATAAGCGACCAACATACGTTGTTCAGACATTTGTAAAACTGTTACGAACATCGTAGAGGAAGAATATGTACACCAAATAATTGCAAGTGCTGAAGCAACAAGCCCAGGTGGTCCGCTGCAAAAGAAAAGAGAAACGTTTTAATATTTAAGAAAGAGACTTCCTAAAAGAAAATCAGAAAATTCAGAATTCCTACCTTAACGGAAAAGCAACACCAACACAACTTAATAAAACAAGAGGCAGTAAACAATAGCCCAATACACTTGCAGTTCTATAACCGTCAACACCGGATTCACTCATAAGATTTAATATCATATAAATTGATACCCAACCAAGTAATGCAACCCCATAAATATATCCAAAGTGAACTTTACTGTTCTGAAGTTATTACATATATAATTTTAATTTTTATAACAAAAAAAAAATGAACAAAAATGAATTTGACACTATACCAGCAATAAAGAAACTCCAAATACTAAACAAAATAAAAGTGGCCCTGCTAAATCTGTATCATCCATTATATTCTTATCAGCAATTTTAAGAGGATTTAAAACTGCCAAACTCTGATTGAAAAAAAAATAAAATTTATTTTTAATAAGGAATTTCCCATGAACTTATTTTCAATTGGAAATTAACGAGTCAAATTTACCTTAGTTTTTATATGACTGAAATTGATACCAAGTTCTATTTTATATATATATCAATCAAAGATCAGAACTTAGATTCGATTTTATAAATAAATGGCGGTTTCAAAAATTATTGAATTACCTTCCAGTAATGGTGGCTCATCATCAAATCCTCCAGTACCGAACGCACTCCAAAAACTACCCGTATTTCCACCATGATGGTAGCCAGGATATTGAGAGGTTTGCGGAGAATAATAAGCAGTATTCGATGTTGCTGTATAGGATGGATCCCCATAATTTGTATCATAAAACTCTAGTTTCTCTGGTGAACCATAATCATAAGTTGCTCCGCTGTCAAACAAGACCGAGTGAACTTGTTCTTGTGACATTTTATTAAACTAAAGATATTTATAAATGAAAAGAGAATAAAACCAAATTTTGAAGGAAACGAGAGTGAAATTTTCTGTTAAGTGATGTGTGTGTTGTTGATTGATTACAAGTTGGTCGATCATTTCACATGCAACTTTGTCTAATTTGGGATATTACGTTTTGATCGCGATTTTTTATATTAATTTTTTTATAAAAAATTTTATTTTATTTTATTTTTTTTTTTTATTAACATTACGTTAATTTACTTATAATTAAATTAAATAACAAATAAATAAATATATTACTTATTTTAAAGTTTTGATGCAATTTGATAATTATTTGTAAAGGTGTCATTATCCTTATTCAATTCATTGGTAACGTTTTGATTTTTGAAATAATTTTCAATAACATTTATAATTCCGTGAATTTGTTCTTCGGTATTATCGGCATGTATGCAAATTCTAACACGTTCTTTACCATTTGGAACAGTTGGTGAACGAATTGGTTTTACATTATATCCGGCTTCTTGAATTACGCGACTCAATCTAACCGCGTTATCATTACCTGGAAGGAATTGAGTTAGAAAATTTAAATAAATAAAAATATTTTCGTATAAGAAAATTAAACGTTCTTACCCGGAGTTAAGATACTTTGAATCGCACTATCGGAAGGTAATAACATATTTGAAGGTAAATTGATGTTGCTACGAAATATATGAATCAATCTCCTCAAATTTTGACGGAGCTATAACAAAACATAACGCGAAAATTAGTTATAAAACAAAAATAAAATAAAAAAAAAAATAAAAGAACCCTTCTTGATTTGTTTAATACCTGATCTCCAACTTCGCTTGACATGACCTTATAGGCACAATTAATGGCTATAAGACTATTAAATGGCAAGAAAGTTGAAAATATTAGAGGTCTCGCATAATTTATTAAGTACGTTCTTAGGATCTTGGGTCCAACGATTGCAGCTACAATAAAACGCGAAAGAATCCTCTTAACTCGTTGTTCATATTAAAATTTTGACCACAAATAATTCATGTATCACTGAATACCTCCATTGCTGGCCAACGCCTTTCCAAAGGTGTGTAAACGGGCAAATACTTTTTTTTCTAATCCTAACTCACATACGACACCACGTCCTTGTTCGCCATATACTCCGGTTGCATGTGCCTAATGCAACAACTACATAAAATTATTTTAAAATATTTATTAATGCAAAAAAAATTTATTATATTTGAACTTTACAAACCTCGTCTACAACCAGATACGTGTTGAAAGGTCTTATAACTTCAATAATTTCGTTTAATGGAGCAATATCACCATCCATAGAATATAAACTTTCCACAGAAACGAAAATATTTCTTTGTGGTTCAATTTTTTGTACGATGTCTTCCAATATTTCTTTTAGATGATCAACGTCATTGTGACGAAATTTTTTTACAATAGCAGCCCGAGAATTTTTTACCCCATCATGTACACTAGCATGTATGAATTCATCCATGATTATCACGTCTCCTCGTTGTGGCACACTACTAAAAAATCCTACGTTAGCATCAAAGCCCGAAGGAAAGATTAATGCAGATTCAGATTTATGAAATGCAGCAATAAATTTATCCAAGGCTTCTGCATATGATGAATTCCCATCTAATAATCTTGAACCTGTTGAGCCAAGTGGTGGGATAGGAAAAGATGAAATTTCTTTTAAATATGAGTCTTGTAATACTTTATTTTTCGCAAGTCCAAGAAAGTCATTTGAAGAAAAATCTACAGACGAGGGCGAAGCCACTACCAAGGAACGTAAAAGTTGTAGCTTTTTACGTTTTTCTAACGTTACTTCTAATTGTTCTAGTAAAGGCATATTTTTTTTTTATTTATTTATTTTTTTTGAAAACAAGGATATTTATATAATTTCTGATTATATGTTGATTATCTATCATGTATTACGACGATCAAATAAAATAATATCTTTCCTTTAAATGGTTAATCTTCATCGAAGAAAATTATAAAATGAAACTAAAACTAGAATTCAAATACAGATCAGCAGAGCCACTCGGTATTAACTTCTAAAAAGAGAACAATTTGTCGAAACTTTTTAAAGAAAAAATTGTTATTTTTTTCTGAGAATACCTTTCTTAAGCAACCCTTTGTTCTCAAACTCTTTTAATACTTGTGAACTCGTGGTTGTGATCATCAGAATTAAATATATATATATACATTAAAAATTTTATTAAAATATAAATATAAAATTCTTTTATTAGTCCGGAGCGAAGCGAAAGGACTTTCTTATACTAGCCACATGTTACACGAGGTGTCCCGTTGTCCGCCCGTTCAAAATTTGAGTCGATACGTGGTTGATCCTTTCGCTACACTTGTGCTTCGGACTTAACAATGGTTTCTGAAACCGTTCCCTAGTATAGATACTTTGCAGTAGAAAGAAAAGAAACTTCTAAAAAAATTTTTTTTTGTTAATATTAAATCTGAACTTTTTTACTAAAAAAATCACATTTAGCTTATAAAATGGAAAAAACTTGTTTAACAATATTGGCCAGAAGATAAATCTTAGGATAATATTATCAGAATAGCTAGTATTTCTAATAAGCAAGCATTTTTAATTATGAATAATACTATATAAATCCCTAGTATAGCTGTTTAAATTTACAGGAATTCTCTATTTAAAGTTAATATAAAATGGTTATTATCAGTTAAAAATTTTATTTACTTTAATATAAAATATTTTTTAAATGTAATTTTATAAGAAAAAATAAATAATTTAATAAATTTTATTTTAAAAATAAGAAATGATTGGTATAGCATCATATGAAAATACAATAAATTTGTAAGTTTGATTTTTCTAAATCAGATTAAATTGATCCAGATGGTATTCTTAACTTTTTGATTTATAGATAAGAGACAAAACCTTTTAATAAAAGTCTAAAATCAGATAAAATTATATTAAAATCATAATAAAGGATATAACAAAACCCTTCTAATATGATAAAAATCAAAACTATCAATACTATATTAAAAACATAGAAAAGAATATGATGAAATTATTTTGAAAAGGTTTTGGTAGACATCTATATTTTGATTAATATTAATAAATATAAAATAGAAAAACATAAAATTTAATATCTTATTATTTGAATTTTAATCTTTTTATTCATTACAATTTGAAGCATTTTTAAAAAAGGATTTTATGTAACTAAATATTGATCAAAAAATCAATTATTTGAAAATTTTGATTAGTTCTTAAATCTATTTGTTAATCCTCTTATATAAAGATTTATATGATAGTTGTCATCTATAAATAACATTAATATTAAATAATTTTAAATTTTATAAATTAGTAAATATAAATCTAAGTTGATAAATTAATAAATTGCATAAATTAAACATTTCTATCAGTTTAATTTTTTGAATTTACTAAAAAATTTAATTTTATTTAATTTAAAAAAAGGATAATATACTCATGAAATATCTCTATAATTCAAATTTAGCTCCTTCAAATATAAATTAAACATTTTATAAAATGTATTTATCAAGACAAATGCATTAAAACTAGAGCACATATTAGCTCTAGTATGAAAACTTTACTAAAATGTTATTATAATATTCATTGTCTTAGCAAGTCATATATGATCACACTTTTAACTGAGAAAAATTTATTTATGATAATTCTATAACTATGCATTTTTTCATTTATTTTAACTATCTATAAAATTTAAATTGATAAAATCATCTTCTGATTAGAACATGTATTATATTATTTTTTTTTGCCTTTTCTTTAATCCTCTAATAACTTTCACTGAATATATATATAGAAAATTGTTAAAATTTTTTTAAATTAAACTTTTTTTCATAATATATAATCTGATCAATATAAATTAATTTAATTATTACCTATATTTTATAAACTACATCATATCTATTATTATAACCAAATTTATAAATTTACTAAAGAAATAAATCTTAAAGAACTTAGCTAATATTTATCAGAAATACTTGAACTTTTGATAAATGATAAAGAAAAAAGGTATCAGACTCATAACATTTTTTAAAAGGATATAATTTTAGCAAATAATAAGTATTTGTATTAATTTTTTTTTTAAAGAATTAGGCAAAATAAAAGTTATACATTTCTAGAAAAAAAAATTAAAAGTGATCTCTTTAAGAAGTCACATAAAAACTAGATTAACCAAGAAGGTAAATATATGTTAAGTATCTGATAGTACTTGTTCTGAAAAGATTATTAAAGAATGGTTCAGCATATTATATAAGATAAACTTAATGAAAGAAAAGTAAAAGTGATAAGTAGAATCTTAGTCAAAATTGTTTCTAGTCTTGTTACTGATTTATCATATCTCTTTAAGTTTTAAAAAATTGTGAATACTTAATGTTTCAGAAAAAATAATCTCTATTATATTGAATTTAAAGATAATTTGATTATTTAATAAAATTTAATAAGAGCAAAACAAGTAACATGAAAATAAAAATTGATTTTTCAAATTATTTCTTGTTAGAATCAATAAAAAAAACTAGATTTGTATAATATATCTAATACATTTGATAAATAAACTTTTGTTAATAATATAATAATACTTATATCTATCTGTTAAAATTAAAAACTTATGCATATCTAATAGTAATATAATAGGTTATATAAAAATTGAAATCAACAGAATAAGTATGATTTTTACTAAACAATTAAGGAATCTGACTCTACATATTTAAATAAATTTTTAAAAAAATATGCATTTATTTTTAAAATAGAAAATTGTAACTTACTACTTTCTAGCTTTTTACATAAATTAGAATCAGTATTTGTTATTAAAATATATAATATAAAAAATTTATTAGAAACTAATATTATTATTAGTCAAGCTTTTCGCCATTCACTTAATAGTTATATTTTTTTATCTAATAGATATACTATAGTTAATTTTAGAAGAAGAAAATAATCTTATAATCAAGTAAAACTATTCTACATCTTTAATGAAAACTAATCATATAGATTTTAATCAAAGATTTAAAGATAAAAATAATTTTTTGTCAATGTTACTAATGATAAAAGTTTTCATTTTTCTGAATTTTTAAAATTTATTTCTTTTTAAATATATAAAAAAAAAGAGATATAGTTTATTAAATTTTATTTTTTTACCTGAAAATATAATATATAGAATATATTACAAAATAGTTAAAATAACTAATTAAAGTATTCATTTGATCTTAATGACCATCAAGTTATCAGATACAAAGAAACTAGCTTAAATATTTAGATTAAATGAGCAGAATGCAGAAGTATATGATATATTTTTTAAAGAAATTAAGGTGTTAAAGAAAAAAATAAAAGATTATCATTTTCAATATAATGGCTTAAAAAATGGTAAAGTTATTAAAAAGAAATATAAAATTCTTAGAAGATGAATTAGATAAATTAGAGGAATATATATATAGAAATATTATAGTTACTTAATAAATGAAATAGTTTTTTTATTAATTAGTAAAAAATAGCTAAAAGTACTGTATATAAAATAGAACTAAAGTTCTGAACAGTTCAGAAAAATTCGAAGATTTTTCAGATCAGTTTAGTTCAGATCAATTTCAGATTGCATAAAAATCAATCCAAAAATTTTCAGTCAGTTCAGATTTTTTTCGGATTATAATTCTAATCTGAACTGAAAAAATCTGAACTAAACTGATAATTTCAGATTAATCTGAAAGTTCAATTTGATTATATGCGAAACTCTTGAAGGATTGCAAAATTTGCGAATTCTCTAAGAGGATTGCAAAAATTTAGCGAAACTCTTAGAGAATCGTAATTTTTTGCGATTTCTCTTCAAATTTCGCAAAAAAATTTTGAAAATCTTGAAAAATCACAATTTTTTGCAATTTCTCTTAGAATTTCGCAAAATTATCGTAAAACTCTTAGAGAGTCACAAAAAATTGCAATTTCTCTTCGAATTTCGTGAACCTTAAAGAGAAATTTGCGATTTTTTGCGATTTTCCTAGAGTTTCGCATATAAATTGCAGATTCCTTATATAATTGAACCATAATTTTAGATTAATCTGAAAATTTCGATTTGGTTCAGATTTTACCAGTTTGCGATTCAGTTCAGATTTAGATTGACATTTTTAAGATTAATAATTTGAATCGAACTGAACTAAAATTTTCAGTTCAGATATAGATTAACATCTAATCCAACCTGAACTAAACTGTTCGAAGCTTTAAATAGAACTAATTCATTTAAATCAAATTTATCTAAAGAAACTATTATAATAACAAAGGCATCTGAGAAATTAGATTCAGATTATATGTCATGTAAAATACTTATTATCTTAAAAAAAGATTTGCAAAATAAAATATATAAAAAAAATTTGATGATAAAAAGATGAAACTTAAAAAAAATCTAATCTAAATAGTGATCATATAAAAATGCATGTAATTAATTTACTAGAATAGCTTTAGTAAGATATTACATATAATATAAATTATATTACATATGATATTTCACTTGCCTTAGATTATAGTATCGCATATAATCTGAATATCACATATAATCTAAACAATATAATCTAATTATCACATATAATCTAAATAATATAATCTAAATATTGTATATAATCTACTTTTTACTATTTCTTATATCTCTTTTATATTCTAGCTATGTCTTTAAATCTTTTCTAGTATTCATGTTTTTTATGTTATTATAATTTTATTATCACAATATAATCTAATTACCACATATATATGATCTAAATGTCATACTTTTTTTCTTGTTTCTGAGTCATTTACAAACTAAATTCTATAATGAAGTTATTAGTTATCTGTAGCTATTTGGATACCTGATTTTATGTTAA